TTTCATCTTTCATCAGCTTCAGTCGCCGCCTAAAACTTCACCTCATACATATATTCCTACATTCAACTTGTAGTTTCGGGTCCGGCAAGGTCTTTAATTGTCCCCCTTCAGTCCCAGAAGGAATATAAAATGTGCATTGCATTTCATATCTAACATCATCCTCACATTTATTGACCATTTCTTCCTGCTTCTTTACTCCCCTATTCGCCATTGACGATAATCACTCTATCCTATCACATTTTAAGTAAAATCACGTCGTAAAATAACCGAACGTACAACGAGCGGCACGGGGGCACGAAGATGGTTGTGTGACAGTTCTGTTTCATCGACACTTACTCATTTCGACAACTGACCGTCCAACTGTGTCAGTTCATGACACATGGTTATTCATGTGGCAAGTGTTTAGTTCCCGTTACATTAACATGTAACATGTGTCTGCATGAAGAGACTTCTATCTGCTACGCGTAGGGAAATTCCATGGCCTTTTCTCAACATGAGTCATCCTCCCGTCGCTGATTTTACATCTCTCCAGCGACTGTACTATTATTGTTGGCCAGTCTTCAATCTTGTAGATGTCATATGCGGGCCCCTCCTCAAGTGTCAAACAATGGACATGTTCAGAGATTTGTACCGTTCGGATACATTTGCATACAACACGCATGCTGTACAGTTTCCACTGTCCACTTTTCTAATATTATTCACAGAGTAGTAGAAAAATTTCGTTTAAATTCATTGGGGAGTGATTTCTTTTGTACGAAGATGGCTGTCTACTTGATTGTCGCGTAGTTGGTCTGGTAAAAGTTTATCAACGTTTCACAGGTCCTTGCTGCCTCCATCATCATTATCATGGTGGTTTATGTCTACCAGACTACACAGCGCTACAAACCATAAGACAGCCATCTTCGTACTCACCGCCATGAGCACCTCAAATCCCATTTTATTCGTATTGTATCCCTTATCCCTTTATTTATTTCATTAACTTTCTTCACATCCCCTTTAACAGCATCTAAAAATATTTATTAGACTACACGGTGAAACATCCCAGAAAGCAGCCATCTTCATGTTCGTCGCCGTGAAGACCTGAAAATTCGCGTATCCCCTAATCGTCGGAATCAAATTTGAAGCCGACATCGGTTTAGAAGTCATCTTCGAAGTTTAGGTGAGTTTTCAAACGAAGACCACAAAAAGGCATCTGTTAGCTTCGCCATGCCTGTCCGTCCGTCCGTTCGTCCTCATGTAACAAGTCGAGAAAGGCTAAACTGATTTTCATGAATTTTCTTTACTGGGCAAGTTTCCTATAATTCGTCAACAATAACGGAAAGATACTCATTTTGAGCGTCTGTTGAGAGTTCTTTGCGATCATGTTCTTATGAAATGTCGATGTGACGTTGGAAAATTACCTACCAACTAAGCAATGATTTTCACTCATTCAACCCTCGGCTTGGGCTGTTTTCGACAATACTACTCCTACCTGTTTGTTTCAGCGGAGAGTTCCACTTGGGGTACCCGAGGACGGAACTTCAGGGGGCATCGTGGTACCACCTGCTACACTGGGACTGCATGCGGGAAGCTCAGAGTAAACACCGCCTCAGTGAGTACTCAGTCTGACTGCTATTCGTTCTGTTAAAATATCCCCGACGAATAGAATTTTCGTCTTTGTGTATCCTTTTTTGAAAGTTAATGAAGTCAAAGCATAATAGGAAGGTTTTATCCATTCGTCGACATGTTTTACCGCCCACAAGTATTGAACGAATTTCGACAAAGTTTAGTGTTGACATTCTACGCCAAAATTTGGCAGGAGAATTTTTTTTCTGAAAAGAAAGATCTTCTTCTCATCCCTACTGTCTGGGGATGCATGTGTGGGAATTTTCTTTCAGTTGCCAAGTTGGTTTCTGGCAGCAAGGCGGTGTGAGAAACTGCTACAATAGAATTCAAAGCACTATTATTGTGTAAGACAAAACAATATATAATAAACTGGAATAATGACATTACAACACAACTCAAAAATACAACTTAATTCAGTACACAGAAGAATAATGTTATGCGAAAGTGGAGAATAGTGTAATAAATACACGGTTCAATGCAATAAAATGTGAAGTGTATAACAGAAAACAGTGGAGATAAAATATAATAAAACGTATGCTATAAATAGGATGGAAACGGAATCGATAAGATGTTATAAACAGCGCGACATACGATTATTGAATACTAAGTTTTTAAAATAACACACACACACACACACACACATCTCAGAAAACATTACAGAAATAAATACTAGGCCTGTTATAAAGAAACATTTGTAATCCCCACTTCTCCGCAGATGCTGGATTGCATATTTTGAATTTCTGTATCCCTGAGTGGCGCTGTAACAAACAAGTCTGCCTTCAGCGTACTATTTGCGAAACTGTTGCGTATAATATCTTAATCGTACTTAGTAAGTGCCTGAGAAATAGGCATGTGTTTGTGATGTTCCTTCATGCCGTATAGTCTTAGACTCTACGAAATGTCTTACATTGTTACAAATCATGTGATGTGGAACTGAACCTCATATTGCAGCAGGAGGAAATCATATGTGAAAGCACGTATCTCGAAAAATCATGAAATATCACCATCAAGTACGTGTCAGATTTTATCATAACTTTATACTACATCTTAAAATGTTTATGTATCCATTTTTAAATACCTTTCAGACTCGCAAATTTTGAAAGATTATGGATAAATAACTGAAGCCGTCTCTTTTCTTAAATCGCATAGTGTGAAGGCTTTTGGGGACCGCGATGTATTTCTGTGCGCTGTTGAAGAGCTCTCACAGAAACTGGCTGCAGGCAACATATTGACTACAGGGACAGGTCTTAGCCTGTGTTTTAATGATAGTTCTCGCAGAAATTTGCAATAGGCAGAATCTCGACTTCTTTTTTGTCCTGAGGACAAGTTTTCACACAAATAAGCCGAAGCGAGTAGGACTACCCCGACGATACGGCCCCACAGAAACAGGTCTTTGTGGGTGTCCTAAGACAAGTTCTCTTGTTTTACAGTTACCCAGTCGGAACAGGACCGATCTTGTATCCTACTGCTGCGTCTTCAGCGGCGACCTGGCGACTGGCTGTGGGTCCACTGTGTCCTGCAGGTTAAGGACAACATGGAAAACAGTCAGCAGCCTGTCATTGTCTGCACCAACCAGGTCCTTAGGTAAGTCGTGTAGCTTCCATACAAAATGTAGGCAAAGTGTATATCTGTCCGAAACCACCTTTCATATCCTATAAAACGGAACTGTGTAATTTATTGTGATCTGTTGTTTGAGCGTACCTGGACGACCACAGAGCCCACCAGACGATTAGCCTTCAAGTTGAAACTAGAGTTTCGTTCAAAAAAGAGCCAACAGTTTTAAGGACGGAGTTACGAATTTCTAAACGCCACTTGTCACAGCTAACCACGAATAACTATCTTAATGACTGTAAATCACGAAAACTGTACTCATATTCACATTTCTGTTACTGTACTGATATTATAATGTCCTTTTCCTCTGCTGTAAGAAACAGAGACATCTTATGAACCGTCTGTTCTATTTCTCAATAAGAACAGATACTGGCCTACGTCATAAGGTGACGCATCTAGAGGCCTCGGATTTGAATTTCAGCCTGCGTGACACGTATCCTCACTCGGGTTTTCGGTGATCTTCCTCAGTGCTTCCAGAAAATGTTTAGGATAATGGCATAAAATAGACCACGACCGCATCCACTTCGTTTTCAGTTAATTTTAAGTATTGTATCACCGCCCGAAGCTCTGTGACCCGTGCAATTAGAAAGCGTCATTAAACAAGCAATGTTAACAGAGTGTGGCGACCAACGCACCACGCGACCTTCATCCTGCAGACACTTCCACAGTTTAATACCGCACACCGAGTAAATTACCTCTCAAGCAGTCGAGATGCGTGGCTTCTAACTTTTATTCTTTTAAACATTACACAAAACAAGTTTAATGTTACCTCTTGCCGGTGCATTATAAAGACAATATTAATGTAAAAAGTTGACGACTTTTTTCATTATTCTAAATGGTTTATACCTTCGATGTGAGTACGAGAAAGCTACTGGAATTACTAACATACACGAGTGGAAGAGGGAACTAAGTACTGTTACAAAGACCGTCTTGAATTATGAGTGCCTCAACACAAGGTCTTCTTCTTCCGCGAGACGTTTTACGGTTACCCCATTGAAATCCTTTGTAGTCAAAGCTAATCTGAGTAACATTTGAAAATTCAGCTCCTGCATTAAATAATGCACATCGCTCCTCTGTTACAGAGATAAACTTGTTAATGCTGTTTAAGGAAATAGTCCCAGTTTATACGAGACTTAAATAGCGTAAAGTATTTGAGGAAAAATTTATTGAATGTTAAAGCAGTTGGTATATACATGTTCAGTTGAACTTTAAATCGGTCAAATTCCCTGTTATGGAACCGAAAGATACATAATCGTCAACATAAAAGCACACCGTTGTACATAATGCTTAATATAAGGGGATAGATCTGACAATAAAGTGACTTCCATGTTCCTGTTCTGGATTGTGACGCCTTGTAAACTTGTAAATAGATACCAACGTTTCGGAGGAACATACTGCCTCCATCTTCAGACCTCAATAAGACAAAGATGAAATTTCCGAACTGTACAGCCCATTGATAGTTGCTATATACTAATTTAATAAAAGCATTAAACAGGGACTTCACGTTGTCAAAAAGATAGTTGAATGATGGATTTACATTCAGCTGAACTACGTTGGTTGTAGGCCTACATGGCTCTGGAAACGTCATTCAGTCATTCTTAACAGTGAATACAGACCTTAGTGGTAACAATGCATTGATTCGGTCCCCAGAACCTCGTTTAAAATAACGGTTATATTATTTAAGCTGAGGATGGCATTGAAATGGAAGTAACTTGGTATTAGGTTTTTACCGCTTTGCCATATCCTTCCAGAATTATATTGGAATATAGTCGCTTGTAGCACTGAAGAATGCAGTTGCTGCCAAGCCAAGTGTGAAATGCGACCACAGAACATAACGCCAAACGCAAACACAGGTCTTCCTCCCTGTAATGCCATTTTTACAATTTATTTTTAGGTTAAGAGCGGTCGGTTTATACGTTGTAATTATTTGACAGTGTAGGGGAAGGGTACAGCTTCACAGAATTACTTTTTACCGCCCTCTTAAGAATGAGAAACATTTTTGTTTTATCGAAACGAACATTGAAAAAATACTTTTCTTTTTTGTCTCGCCCTCGCCTCGTTTCTTCTGATTTACGTTCTGACTCCGCTAGCTGCATTATGATTCACATACGGCCGTAACAATAATTAGTTTAGGAAAATAGATGAAGCCTCTATTATGTACCGCGTACAAGAATAATACGTCCTGGAATAGTAGATCGAAGATTAGACGCATTTTATTATCTCAGAAGCATACTAATACTTGTTAATTTTATTTATTGCCGAAAATGAAAACGCCGTGAAAAGAGAATAAATGATTTAGATGAATGGTGTATAGGGAGTAAAATAACCGAGTGTTTAAGAGAATATCAGCAAAGCTAAGCCGGGGTAGCTTAATTATTAAAGTACCTGGCGACGTGTCGAATTGCCCGAATTTAATCCTTGGCACAACAGAGAGATCTTCGGTGGAATCCACTCCCTGAGCCAAGTTATCTCGTCGTCCATCTAGTGCCGATATCCTGAAGGCACGGAGTTTTGCCACGTCCGTTACACACACTTACATGCATGATGGTTAGGAAACACCTTCACATGTTATCGCTTTTCGGCGTGATCATATCCTTGCAGAGCGCCTGTTAAAATCGCTTCGGCCATCCGTCTGTCCGCCCTCTCTGCACGCATGTAATAACTCGTGAACAGCTGAATGGACTTTAATTAAATTTCGCATTGCGTAATTTTACGAAAAATTGTCCAGATAGCGATTGTCGCCCTAACGACTGAGGCTTAAAATACCTCTGAAACGCCTGTAAACTTCTACAGAGACCACACGGTGCGTTGTACATAATATTATAATTCTGTTTAAAACAGTGTCATATTCAAAGTACCTTGGATCGACAAGCTAAAGTGTAACCTTAAATGCAGTTGAATGGAGACTGAGCTCCACGCATTCTTGAGGTGGGTACCAGATGGAGTCGAGTGATTAGCTGTACATTCTGGCCACTTCGTGCCCGGTAAAAGGAGCCTGGTTTATCCGCTAGGTAATCCCGACAGCAGGTCTGGAGACGATAGCAATTAGCAAATTGCTTGCCTGGAATCGCATCCAAGAACTTCACTGACTGAGCTGTAGCACATGCTGTTCACGAATAAACAAAAATAGAATAACTGAAAGAAGATTTTTGCGTTCTCATCTTCATCTCTTCGTCTGATTTTTAAAGGACTAAACCCTAAATAATGTGACATTGCAATTCCATATGTTATTTTGTATGCTTGCGAAAACTTGACTTATGTAGAATGAAAGACCGTCATCAGGACATGCAAATATTCACATAAATAACCTAAAAACTCTAATACATGTTTCAGCCTTTAGGTAATTGAAATTGTGTTATTACGAAAAATAAACTTATGATCAGTTGACAATAAACTGAAGAAACTATTTGGAGCTAAATGGAATTAAGTGTCTGAAGAATAGATGAAATTTCGAAACAAATATTCCCAATGCTTAGGACTATATTATTATTTATTAATTTGTTTATAATAAAAATCATAAATATTTCTTTTTATTTGGAACTACTGATATGATTATTTACGACACACATCGTTCCTGCCGTAAGTGGCGTTGGTGTGTTAAATTTTCAACGAAAACTTTTCTGCCACGTGATGATAAAAATTGAAGTAACCATTGATAAACTTCCCACAATATTAGCTCATAAGTTACAGCGGAAATACGTGATGGACAAACAAGTAAAATAAACCGTGTTTTGCTAAAGAAAACTCGACTCGTATGGCGTTAAATTAGAATGAAATGAATGCGCACTACATGGAGTGAAAACAAATAAGTAGGGCCTCAGAAAGTTTCTGTTGTGAAACTTCTAAGAGATAAACGTTTACGTAGTAGGTTGATTTTAATTAAAAGTGATGTATAAGAAACTGGTTTTGACGATAGGTCTATAAATTGGATTGCTGGACCAGAATATGTTCGGAAGAGATGATTTCTTCTGATGCGGTTTCGAATCGACAGATTCCACGACCACTGACAGCTTTTCAGTAATAAATCATAAAAGATTAAACAACTTTAATTCGTGAGCGGGAAGATTTAAGCTTGATATTCTTAGTTTATTTAATTATAGAAGTTTCAATTGCTCAAATTCTATAATGTCGATTTATAGGTTGATGACTAATGAATCGTATGATTTGAGGTTTTCACAGCGGTGAGTATGAAGATTTCTGCCTTCTGGGTTGTTGCGCTGAGTAGTCTGGTCGATGTTAACCAACGTTTCAGAGGTCATACTGCCGCCATCATCAGGACGATGAGTATGAAGATATCCGTCTTCTGGGTTGTTGCGCTGAGTAGTCTGGTCGATGTTAACCAACGTTTCAGAGGTCATACTGCCGCCATCATCAGGACGATGAGTATGAAGATATCCGTCTTCTGGGTTGTTGCGCTGAGTAGTCTGGTCGATGTTAACCAACGTTTCAGAGGTCATACTGCCTCCGTCATCAGGGCAGCAATCTTAGAATAATGAATCGATAAAGATGTGGAACCTGTCAGCAAAGCCAAACTCTTGGCTACGATTTTAAACTGAAACCTACAGAATACGAAGCAGACTCAACCATTCGACCGCTACATTTGGTGGTTTGGGTCTTAGGGAAATATTTTGGGTTTTATAAAGTGCGAGAAATTTCTTGACTAATTGACCAAACTCTTCTTAGGTTCTCAGGGACCCTGAAACATGGAGCTAGTTATTTTGTTAGGTATATTCTGTTCAGGCCATTCCCCAGAGACCATGTCATTTAAGGTCTATCAGACACTGGACATGTGTTTTTCAATCCCGCCTAGGAAATTCCTTTATTCTCCCGATGAGAGGATTGCTGTTAGGAGCAAATGGAGTGGCCCGCATTTGTGCCAGTGCAACACGTATTGCAACACACACGCTGATCGATACGATAGTATCGAATCACGTTCTAACTAAAAGGGAACAGTCAACCAGATTGAGACTGCAGTAATAATGAGTAAGTTGGAACAACCCAATCCGGTATCATTAACTGCAGACACCAGAAGAATCTATATTGATCACATGTGAGTACGTGATCAAGATGTGTAAATAAGAGATTTCAGTGGGATAAAAACAGTGCAAAAGCCTTCTATACATTTTTTTTCTAAGACATTACATTTGACACGTGTTTTGTGGAGTAATGAGGTCACAGCAGATACATTTAAAGAAGTAAAAATTGGTGGGAAGGTGTAGAACATTAGTTAGTTTTTTATCGCTAAAAATGCGTTTAATAACTTGATATATGTTCTTATTAGTGGTCCCACTTTAATAGCATTTGAACACCTTCAAACATTTTATAATTGTCGATAGGGGCGTACCTTGGTTGAAAGTTGGGTTATTTGAAAAATTATATCAATATGCAATGTTCATATGTCAATGTAATGAATGCTTTTAATGTCGCGTCTGGAGATACTTTTATCTGAAAGATTCGTTTGTTAATTGGCTAATTCTAAAGTGATTGAGTATCCATCGGCTGCAGCAGCCCAGCATGAAGCTACAGATTTTCTTTTCGTGTTCTCCGAAAGGTTTTTTTTTCTCTCTGGTGGTATTTTCAAGCATATTTATGTAGTCGTTTGTGCCATCCGCTTTCTTTGAATGCAGCATCCAGAGAAAAGCAGTTCCAGACTAGCAGTGATGGCAGAGAACCGTTGTTAAAATAGAGTAAGGTGTATATGTGCCTGTGTTGCAGTGAGCGGGAGGCGACTGTGATGCGCGCCAACAGTTGGCTGTACCACTATTACATGGTCCAGAGCAAGTTGCAGTACGGACTCGCATATGAAGCCCACGCCGCCTCCAGGATGGCAGCCGCCGCCGCTGCAGCGTACTATCACCCACACCCGCCACCGCCACCCCCACACCACCCACAGGTCATGTCACCGTACCCTCACCACGACCCCAGTCACCATTCCAACTACCTCCACCATCACCACCAGATGTCACCTGCGCCCTCAGGGGTAGTTCCCACCCATCACCACCCTCACAGTCACCACCACGGTCTGAACGGTTCGACCGCGGGACAGCACCATCATCAGTTACAGCATCCGACCAACTCAGACAGTCCCGGGTACTCCATGCCTCCATCGACGCCGTCCGAAAGCGGCCCTCCCTCTTATAGGTACGGGCGGAGGACGGAGCCGGAACCCGTGGACTACTCGCTGCACCCGGCCCATGATGACCCGGGCGACGAGCGATACCTTCTGCCCGTCGAGGAAGTGAGAACGTCTCCCACAATCACCGCACAGAAGAGG